AAATAGGAATTTGAACACTTTAAAGAGGTATAGATGACTTTAGGAGCATACCTTTTTGAAGACAAGGCAGAAAGAACAATTCGAACACAGCAGCGATCCTAAACTTGCAGGGAGAAGAGTTCGGCTCGAAGGTGATGAACTTTTTAGAGAGGGAGAATGAGAAAAGGCTAGAGCTTTTTGAATAAAGAAGAGTTTTTAAAAGAGGAGGGGGGTATTTATATGAGGCTTCTAAAAGAGTAGTGGGCTGGCCTCTAAAGGCCCAAGGCCAAGGACTTATACATTTCCTTAATTTAAGACCCAAAAATCTAAAATAACCAAAATGTCCAAGTCTGGAACAAGACCATCTGCCGTACTGGAATGATCAAGTATGGGCAACCAGTGCTTCAGAAAGAAGACAACAGAGCCCCTGCGAAGAAAAGACGCCAGAGCTTCTGTGAGGAGACACAGAGCTTCTGCACAGAGATGCCAGAGCCTCTGGGAAGAGACATAGAGCTTCTGCACAGAGATGCCAGAGCCTCTTTGAAGAGACACATAGCCTCTGTGAAGAGTTGTCGGAGTCTCTATGAAAAGACAGAGTCTCAAAGAAGAGTTGCCGGAGTCTCTGTGAAAAGACAGAGTCTCAGAGAAGAGTTGTCGGAGTCTCTGTGAAAAGACAACAAAGTCTCAGAGAAGAGTTGCCGGAGTCTATGAAAAGACAACAGAGTCTCAGAGAAGAGTTGCCGAAGTCTCTGTGAAAAGACAACAGAGCCTCTGTAGATAGTACCAAAGCCTATGTGTCTGTCACCAGAGCCTCTGATCGAATAGGCAACCTCTTCAAGATCATACTCTGGATAAGGTTAATCCTAAAATACTTAGTTTTCTAATGAAGATTCCGAAATAAGGTCCTAACCTGGAAATCCAAAGATAAGGTTAATCCTAAAAGACTTAGTTTTCTAATGAAGATTNGGTCCTAACCTGGAAATCCAAAGATAAGGTTAATCCTAAAAGACTTAGTTTTCTAATGAAGATTCCGAAATAAGGTCCTAACCTGGAAATCCAAAAGTGTAGAGTTGTTACACATCTGATCCAACTTTGTATTGTTTACCCAAGTGAAGATCTCTCAAGTGCCCTTGCCTATCATATTCTGCCGTGTATGCAGGAAGCGGTTATTTCCCCTTTACACGTGGAGATCAACTATTGGAGAAAGTATTGACTTTCCTTTTCTAGGCTATCAATAGGA